GAAAACCACTTACATATATATATCCTTACCCTATAAGTCCTACTAGTATGTCAGGATTGTGTAGATTGTGATGCTATATGATCCGATAGAAGTTGAGTGATTACCTATCACTCGCGAGAGATAGGAAAGATATTATTGTTACTATATTACTATCACATGAAATATATATGGATGATAATTGGAGACTGGGCGGAATGGTACTTTGGATCTGGTCTTGGTTAGGCATTCGAGCGAGGCTCGGATTGCACTTGTTCTGCCTATGTCGATTGAGGACCGTCCGTTGTTGTGGATGGTAGTCATGTCACAGACTTATTATCCTGAGCACATACTTGCTTATTGGAGCGGGAAGGCTCGTTGCACTCTTGTCACGGGTTCGGGCTCTTTCCGGACCGACTGATTGGAGGCGGGGAAATGTGGAGGTCTAAGCACCATACTAAAACCGGGTCTCAAGTGTGGGGGGCTTGGAGTCCAAGTTTGAACGGGGACCTAGACCCCGTGAAAGGAGTGGAATGGGTTGGTCTTGTTTGTGCCTGTGGTATAAACGGGGCGTGTGTTTTGGGGTACCCAGTTGGGATACATTGGTTCACGAATCGCCGTTTCTATGGGACGATACCAACTTGACTACGGTCTAGCACCGTAGTAACAACTGGAATATGAAAAATGGTAAAATAATTCTGATTGCTTACCACCTACTTGAAAGTAACATAAGTGCTTACATAGAATGGTTAGTTAATGAACTAATGATGACTGCTAATAAAATTGAATATAAGGATGCACATTTAGTAATGCTTCTGCAAATGCGATAACCCACAAGCCAAATGAGCCTTGCATATCCTTGAAGTCTTTTATTTTTCTCCTGTTGGGTAAGTCTTGCTGAGTACAATCGAGTACTCAGGGTTTTATTCCCTCTGTTGCAGGTGATCGGAGGATACTTAGAGCTGACTCTTGTGTGTGGAAACCTCCTGGTGGGCTCAGAGAGGATTCCTTTTTCGCTACGACCGCAGTGTTTATTTATAACCCTTGCTAAAAGTTTTTATAAGAAAAGATGTAAAATCTGATAGCACCTCTTGTATAAAAAGGTCCACTAAGTTAATGCTCCACCATATCATTAAATTAATCTTGCTCCCTCTGTGACTCTGATAACATTGCTATATTTCGCTGTTATAATCAATTGAGGTAATATTATGTTACTGTAATGAAGCGATGTAAGAAATGACTTAAGAATGTTGTAACCTTTATTCTCTCATTTATGATCCTGATGGAAAATATGGATTTTCGAGTTCTCCCTTGGGGTGTGCCCAACAGAACTACGTAGTTTAGTGTCCTCTCTTGAGTATTTAGTGTCTAATGGAAGACAAGTACTCCTGGGAGACATTGGATTAGGCAGATCAGTTTACAAAGGGACTGTCACGCAATGTGATAGATGGTGCATCGAGGCCTCGAGGGAGATGGGCTTGAGACCCACTTGAAGTCATTCCATAGTGGTAACCTGTCCTATGTGATCGGAGATCCCGTGAAGTAGGATGGTGAAACAAGCTAGTGGTTGACTGATGGAGAGACCCCTTATAATAATAAGGTCCAGATTGTTTGAGATGCATGTTTCTCCTATGTTATAAGGCACGTTGATTTATACCTTAATGTGATCCGAGTGGCTTATTTAAGCAGAGATGTTGTCCTATAGAACATCCTAGAAGGAACACACCTATATGAGTTCGACTGCTAGCCACAGTTTATGAGATGTGGGTAGCCTCTATATACTTATGAAAGGCCTCGAAGTGTGACTTATATGCTTCAACCAGAGGGATGCTTGTAGCAGCCTAGTACAAGAAAAGAACTTGGGTGAAACTCACTTCACACAAAACTGTCAATTCAAGGCACAATCCATTGTTCAGTTGTGACTGAGTGTAACCCCTATTCTACACGGGTGTTCAACTTAACAGTCTCTGTCGAAACTCTGATATATCAAAGAACTGTGGATTTAAGATTATTTAACATGTGCCTTAGAATTTGGTGGGGATTGTTAGATTTAATGTGTGGGCTAGGCCCATATATTATCTAATTAAATCAAATAAAATCTAATGCCCGTATTAAATAATGTGCTCAATATTATTTAGTCACATATGGAATATTGACTGGATGTTGACTCGACTTATATGTGCGGGTTGTGTCTCTCTACATTGAGAAAGTTGAGAAGAGGCGTGACTGTGCCGTGACTTAGTCGACGCGAGGTGCAGGATATGAAAAGTTTTGCCACTCCAGCCAATTATAAAGTCGTAGGGAGTTTCGGGAGTTTCTGTCCCCAACAAGGAAATAATGGAAGGAGTTTCGGGAGTTTCTATCCTTAATTGGGAAAGTAATGGCAGGAGTTACGAGAGTTTTTCTCCCCGTAGTGCGCCGTAGCGTGGGCGCCTCCTCCACTCCTCCCGTAGTGTCTCCTGTGCTCTGGCTCTTGGTGATCCTGTGCAATCCTTTGGCTTTCCTGGCTATGAGATAAAAGCAAAGCTCGCCTCCTCATTCTTTTCTCTTGATCCAACGTGCAAACACATCAACTGCTTCCGCTATGGCCAAGTTTCCTGTCCCGGTTCCCACGAGCACGGGAATAGGGAGAGCAGGCCTCTAAAACCGAGTCATCTGTGAGTTCACCTGCTCGGGTGAAGGGTGATCATCAGATTTTTGGGGAGCGACCACGCAACTGCTCGATCGTTCGACAATTCGTTCCTCATCTTCTTCCTGGCGTTCGTGGCGGCAGCGAGAGTTCGACGCTGCAACCTCTCTGCACTGCATCGAGCGGGACGACTACACCAACAGACGCTATGTCGACTAGCGCAACCGGCTCTGGTGCCGCTGGGCATGTTCTAATTTATCCCCTTATCTTCGGTGATTAAAATCATGATAATTAGTATCATCTACATGTTCATAATGCTTATATCACATGCACACATATCTTGTGTCACAAACTTGGCATTATTATTTTTCTGAATTAAATTGCTACTGAAATTGCCTAAATCTCTAATAGTACCTACATCCTGTTCCATCCAAGTATTCTAGTGTTATAATAATCCCTTCTCTAATCAGCAGGTTATAAAATGTAAAAGGTCGCTGCAGCAATCTGGCACACTCCATCCCATGGGCTAACATGTGATAAAATGAACGGCCCAAAATGGCTCAAATATATGGGCCTGTTCCAATTTAGACTGCTTTTTAAGAGCAAGTTTTACGGGATTTGCTAAATTTCAGGTGCTTGAATTTTAGTTTTCTTTCAAGCGACGGTTATTGCATATATTTTATATTAAAATTATAGTTTTAGTTCGTCGTAATTTTTGTAGACACAATTTGTAATTTTTGGTTCCAAGAATAAAAACCCGTTAAACAAAACCACAAATCTGACAAAATTTGATATGTGTTGGTACAAAGACAATTTAATAATTTATAATTATTTTCTATAGTCAGACAAGGACAAAAATTTAATATGTTATGACACAAAGACAATTACAAAATTACAAAAGTGACAATTTACTCGTATTAATTAGTAGTAAAGAGTGTTGCCTGAAATTATCTTAAAATTCAGGCACCTGAAATATAGGAAAAGTGCTAATTAATTACTCATCGAACTTTTGACCTTCGAGGGCTCCCAGTGGATTTTGCTCGTCCCCTGCACCAAATGGACATTACGTCCTGCATCACAAAAAAAAGCTCTTCCACTGATTTTATCTCTCTCTCTCTCTCTCTCTTGAATAGTCATTGCTGATCGTTTCGCTGAAATTTGACTTATACTGGTTTGTTGTGAGAGGAGAACACTGTTCGTTCGCAGAAAAGTACTGCTGAAGTAGTGGTGCAGAAAAGAACCTCTATTTTTCCTTTGCTTCCGTATAATCCAAATTACCATTTATCGCAAGAGTGTATGCGCTTTGATATCTCCTTGGTCAGTTCTGATATCTCCTTGTTAGCTTGTATATATTCATGTCTAAACTAAATAAAAATCATATTGGTTTTTTCCTTTGCTCACATCAGCTAGTAAAATCATATCATATATGTTTCCCGAGGTAGAAGGATGTGCAGGCTGTACGTTCATCTTTCCACTCACGCTGAATCTCTCTATGCACCTTGTCAACTCGAGTTGAAATCTTGTTCTTCCTTTTTTCTATCTCTGTTGCTACTTTAGTTTTTTCTGTAACTCTCTTGGTTACCTTAATAAAATCTTCAGTAGGGGTCTTTGACCCCTCCTGTTCATTCAAAAAAAAAAAGTGAAGATATATAGATCGGGAGGAGTGAAACAAACGCTGAAAGATTCGGGGATGAAAGGGCTGAACCAAGCATAGAACTTGTGAGATGCTGTAAGGTGTTGTACGTATCAAAATGGACATCGTTTAGCAAATTGCAACTGCCATCTTTGTGATGGCTGAAATACACAACGTATTTTCTTTCATGATATGCTACATTTAAGAAGATTCGTTCCCAATTTTGTACCAAAAAGGAAGGCCAACTTCGCTACCTTCAACCGACGATCACACGATGGAGACTTGTTGGTTGTTGCGATGGGCTCTCGTTTTCTGAAAGGACAACTGAAATTGACCCGAATACATGAATTAGGAGAAGTTTTAGCAGGAGAAGCTGGGTCAATTTGATGGCACGGCCGCCCATCTTGCCTAGAACCTGGCATCGCTGAACAGTTGTTATATTTTTGTGCGTATATATAGGAGTTCGTGCACCAATTCGACGAACGCGACGACGAATTTTCTCTGTGAGGATATCTGAAACTCCCTTCCGTATGGGCCCACTTGTCAGGCAAATCAGGGTCAATTAGTGGCAAATGCCGAAGAACCCGAGGGCTAAACCGTGAAACAACTCTCAAGTACCGATCTCCACCTTCCCTTTCTCCTCTCTCCCGGATTCCCGGCGACTTCCTCTTTTCCTTCCCTCGGCCGGCCGCCCCGCCTCCGTGATCGCAATTCGCACCTGCCTGCCCGCGCGGCCCCGACGACCCCTCGTCCTCCCCACCCATGGCGCGGCGATCCGCCCCTCTCCTGCGCCGCCTCGTCTCCGCCTCTTCCCCGCCCGCGCCGCAGCCCCTCCCGGGCCTCGCGCGGCGCACGGTGACCTACATGCCCCGGCCCGGGGACGGCGCCCCGCGCGCCGTCACGCTCATCCCGGGCGACGGCATCGGGCCCCTCGTCACGGGCGCCGTGCGCCAGGTCATGGAGGCGATGCACGCGCCCGTCTACTTCGAGGCCTACGACGTCCACGGCGACATGCCCACGGTCCCGCCCGCCGTCATCGACTCCATCCGCCGCAACAAGGTCTGCATCAAGGGCGGGCTCGCCACGCCCGTCGGCGGCGGGGTCTCCTCCCTCAACATGCAGCTGCGCAAGGAGCTCGACCTCTACGCATCGCTCGTCCACTGCTCCAACCTCCCAGGCCTGCCCACCAGGCACCAGGGTGTCGACATCGTCGTCATCAGGGAGAACACCGAGGGCGAGTACTCGGGGCTCGAGCACGAGGTCGTGCCCGGGGTCGTTGAGAGCCTCAAGGTACGACGGAGTCTCGGTTGGGGTTGGGGGATCGGTTATGTACGTTTCATGTTTATGATGATTTTCCCGATATATATTATAAAATTCGTGGGGCCGCCTATTACTTCCGCGTATTAAAGTTGGTATATATAGATTTTGCAGGTCATGGTTTTCACGTAAATGACAAAACAGGGTTTTTTTATCAATACTTTGCCACCATTTGAGTACCCCCAGGATCTATTTGCAATGGGAGTGATTTAGCCTATTAGCTCAATCAGCACGAACTTGGTTTCATCTGAATTTGTGATCACCAAAATTTCTTTAAGAAAGACAATTAGTTTTAATTTTTTATGAATAGCTTGTATCATTGTAATGATCACTTTATGTTTCGAAAGGTTGCAGCTGCAGCTATAGGACATGTGGTGAGCTTAGCATCATGTTCGAATGTTTGGACAGTAGGGAATTGGGTTATATTCACTGTGTTCATTTATTGATTCACACACATATATATAAATATATATTACCAACCCGTGAATAAAATGTGCCGGTACTGTATTTACTAAATGATCCACATTTTTCATGTCTTGTCATATGTTTCTTTCTTTGGGTTAAGCCATTTAAGCAATTTTCCCCTATCCTTTGTGCCATGAGTTCCTTTGAGACTTTGCTCAAGAAACTGTTGTTGAAATAGAATCCACTCATTTAGTGTTTGTGATCCTTTTCAGTTCTTATCTGAACTTTTCTTCCATTATTACTCTTACTGAATGGATTTCCTAGGTGATTACAAAGTTTTGCTCTGAGAGGATTGCCAAATATGCGTTCGAGTATGCTTACCTTAACAACCGAAAGAAAGTCACTGCAGTGCATAAAGCAAACATTATGAAGCTTGCCGATGGTTTGTTCTTGGAGTCTTGCCGCGAGGTTGCTTCAAAGTATCCTGGTATTCAGTACAATGAAATGATTGTTGACAACTGCTCTATGCAACTTGTTTCAAAGCCAGAACAATTTGATGTCATGGTATGCATCTGAATTTCTGAGCATTTTTCTGTATATATGCCATTTAATTTGGAACATCACATTTTTGTTCAAGCAAACCTTGAATTACCTTTTTCTGTTCTGCACCGAGTTCATTTTCATCTGCATTGTACAATTTTAAACTATCAAATGTTTGTTTGTATATTGTTGAGTACTTGAGTTGCAAAGTAGTGGTTCCAATGCCAAAATTATAAAACTATTGAATAGTTATTATTATAGGATTGCTTGATCTTGCTAGAAGAACAGTTCCTGAACTTTACCAATTCAAGCATATGTAAATTTTGTGTAAACAGTAACCCTTTGCTCCTTTTTCTTTATTGACAAATTTGAGATCCTTTTCTTTTGGGATAAAACTAGAAAACTTGTGGCTTGTGGGAGTTTGGAACTTCAGAATGTGAGAAATTATGGGGAATGCTCTGCTTGAGTACCGAGCTTGCCATGTAATAAAGATAACGTTTCTCTGAGACATATCAAACCAAGATATATTGGGCTAATCAAAATCCCATTGTTCTTAAGGAATAGAAATTGATATTATTGAGAATTTATAAGATTTGTGACTAATTTACAGTATTTAAGTGAGGGAAGCACATCATTGGCAAGCTAAGCTAGATGCAATGTAAAAAGCATGTGCTTACTAAACGTCTTTTCTATTTGTTATCTCATTTCTTTTCTGTTTTCCTAATTTTCTCTGTTGCTTCCTTGCAAGTATACCATGGATTAGGATTACCTGCAGGTTTCAAACTTTTTTTTTTCTTTTTGTAGGTTACGCCTAATCTTTATGGCAATTTGGTGGCTAACACGGCTGCAGGTATTGTTGGAGGGACAGGCATCATGCCTGGAGGTAGGGGTTGCAGCTCATTCTTTATTATTTGTGGTTTCCTCCTCTGGCAAATGGTTCTGGTACCGTTCCATTTTTGTAATTTGCTGCAGAAATAATATTTTGGGCCTGACTTATCTCCCTCTGTGCCTACATTGTTACATATTTGTAAAAACTTTGTGGCATATGGAGCATCTCTTGGCGCTTTTAATTAATTTTGAGTTGCAATAAGTTTGATGCTCAGCGTACTAATCCTCGGTACTGCATTATGTTTTAGGCAATGTGGGTCAGGACTATGCTGTCTTTGAGCAAGGTGCTTCTGCAGGAAATGTTGGAAACGAGAACATCGTGGAGCAGAAGAAAGCAAACCCTGTCGCGCTGCTTCTGTCATCCGCTATGATGTTGAGGCATTTGCAGTTCCCATCATTTGCTGACCGGCTGGAGACAGCGGTGAAGCGCGTCGTTGCAGAAGGCACCTACAGAACAAAGGATTTGGGCGGTAGCAGCACCACCCAGGAAGTTACCGATGCTGTGATTGCCAGTCTGGATTAGATTCCTGGTGTGCGCCTGAAAAAAAAAGTTAATTCTTTGGGGCGACTAGTTGGCTAGTCTTGACTCCTGAGTGTTATTTATCTTCTTACATAGATTTAGATTGCTTCACATTTTCGAGGGATTACAAGGTATCCCTTGTTTCAGATTTTGTTTAGAAATAATTATTGGGGAACCCACGATGATTGTGTTCATGTGATACTTTGCACTTATCATCAAGGAGGAAGACCTTGAGTTGCAAAAGCCAAAGGGAATGGATGGCAGTCAAAAATAACATGAATTGAGAGTCGACTCTCAGATTGGAGCTTTGGCCCATGGCTGCCACTACATTGAGCTGTCTCTTTGGATTATTCCCTGAGACTTACTGTTACGGACGTTGTGGTTTTACTTGGGAAGGTAAATGTGCCTGTTTGTTGATTTCCGGCTGTGCGTCTGGTGATCAATGGACCCAGCCGTGAAAAGCTTTAATTTGTATATATTCACATCAAATTTTCGATAATGATGTCTTCCTCTACTTCAATCTTACTCTGCCATTGCACGATAATTTTCGATATGGCAGGGAGTACTTTTCTGTGAAGATAGTGGCATGTACGATATCGATCAAGAGTTGAGGTGGACAACGAGACCAGCCACCATCTTAGTGCCTCTTAGAATTATTATCTGTTAAATACACTTTATACAATTTAATGTACTCCTTTCATTTCAAATTATGTCATTCCAATTATCTTGGTGCATATCAAGTTTGACCATAATTATAGAGAGAATTATAAAGGTTTGACATCAAATAGGTAATTATAAAAATATATAATTAATAAAGAATCTAGTGATACTTATTTGGTATCATAAATGTTATTATTTTATTATATAAAATCAGACAAATTTGAGATGTTTTGACTCTCAAGTTAAAATGACTTATAATTTAGAATGGAGGGAGTATATTATATCAGATTAAAACAATCAAAATGCTATTTTCTACTCCATCCATTTCAAATTATAAATCGCTTTAACTTTTTTGATACATCCCATTTTGTTATGCATCTAAATATGATATATGTCTAGATACATAGAAAGCGGATGTGCCAAAAGTCAAGGTGACTTATAATTTAAAACGGATGGAGTAGAAAAATATTGAAAATATTTATTTCATATACTTAACTTACCTGACTCCTTATACTAAACTTAAGAGTCTGTTTGGCTGGTGTCTAAACTTACTACAACTAACCTTAGGCCCGAACCAAGCATGTTGAAGCTGCCAATAGACGACTAATGACGCCTGTGCCGGCCGCCCGGCTTCCATCGAAGCACGCCTGTGAACTCGAAGGTCTTATTTTCCTCCCTGCCATTGTCTTCCTCCTATATTAGAACACCCGATGTGTACGTGAACATTGATGCCCCAAATGAAAATGTTACATCAACATATAAATGGATTTCAGACTTGTAGGCTGCAGTGTTGAAGCATAGTTTCACAGGACCCACTATGCAAATAGAAAGATGTTCTAGCATGGCATGATTGGTTGAGGCAATGCATCCAAAGGAGTTAGACTATTCAGAATTTCAGATTATTCACGTCACAGAGATTCAAAAAAGAGAAACAATATTTTACTGTGTGGCATTGAGGCTAGTAGGAGCATCGAGGTTCCAAGCATCGCCCCTCGGAGCGTGCAAAGCGTCGACGATTCTTCTTCTCTCATTTCACGGGGAGCATCATTTTTTTCCAACACCGCGGGCACTGACATATTCCTAAATAAAAAGAAAAACAATTCAGGAAACATATATATAAAAGAATGACGAAGTCAGAACTTAACTTCCATCTACATATATGTGACACTAAAGGTACAATGCTTATAAATAAGTAGAGTGCATCATTATACAAGATAGCATTCAAGCACCCAAATGGGGTGGGTACTCAGTTCTAGGTTCGGTTCCTTGGTTATTGATGAAATTCGGTTCCTAGAAAATAAGAACCGATCGGTTCAAAAAAAACTGAGCATCTCGGTTTTCGGTTATTTCAGTTTGTTTCCGGTTCTAACCGAATAAACCGATTTTTTTTAGCAGAGGTTAAACACAACAAAAAAATATATAGGTTTTAAAGCAAATTTAGACGACACTATCTCTATTTTAGACAATAATAATAGATAAGATAACAATAGCAATATAGCAACACAAATACATAGTAACTCAATATGAGACGATCGAAAAAAAAAAACTCAATGTGAGACATCACAAGTAAATCGAACATAGTCTTACAAAATACAAGTAAGTGAATTACAATTCATGTATTTCGGTTAATCGGTTATCTGAGAGTAGGAACCGAAATTTCCTCGTTATTTTGGTTTCTGGCAATCTAGAACCGAATACGGAATCGATTTTTTCGGTTTCAGTTATTTTGGTTTGGTTTTCGGTTCTTGATTAAAAATGCCCAGGCCTACCCAAACGATCTGTTTTGTTCTATATGCCTGAGCCTATACACGCCACTAGTCCCAAACGTACTTCACTAGAAAACTGTTTTTTTTTGCAATTTCATAAGAAAAATTTTCAGCTTCATGACCAAATGTTTCATGTTTAGGAGAAATTTATTCTGGAATAACGAGAGAATTTGTTCCAATGTCACAATAAAAACGTTCCAACATCACCCGGAAAAACTACAGATTGAGATGTTTATTTGAAATAAAAATATTGTAAAAGAAATCAGACCACAATTTAAAAAGTCCAATAACAAAATTTACCCTAGGCTAGTGATAGAAAAGAAAAAATTATTACTAGTGGATATTAAAACAAATATAATTACTAGTTACAAGTTATGATAATGTAGGAAACAGTTCGAAGCAAAATAAAAGCAGAAAAAAGGAAAAGAACAACCAAGTGGACGAAAGAAAAAAGAAAAAGGGAACGGAGAAAGGGTGAGCCAGTTTCATGGGCCGCTTTCTGCCTCTCTGGTCATGCGCGTGCATAAATCGGCCCAGTAGTCCGCGCGAGCGCGGAGAAGCAAAAGCTGTAAACAGCCCCGGAAGGATTGCTCTGTCCTGCGTGGCTGCGTTGCTCTTCTCCCGTTCACCTCGCGTGCGCGAGCGGCGAGCCAACTAGGGCGACCGACGCCGCCCTACGCCCAGCTTCCCAGGTCTTTGTCGGGGCTTTGCCGGCGACGAGAACCCACCACACCAGGTATGCCCGCTCCTTCTCTTCCCTTGCTGCTGTGCAAAATTGAGCACCCGAACCCTAACTTGAGCTATTTGCCTATTTGTATGCGGATCTGATATATAATCACAAGTTTTGTACCTACTAACTTCGTTTTTTTTTATCGGGGTGTAGCTGTACATGTGTACACTCATGTCCCTTATTGTCTTCGCCTCTGATTTGATGTATCCAGATCCTACTTATGGGTCTTCAGGCCATCATATCTAGATGCTTTTTATGTCCTTGTAGTGGGAGATAGGTTTGTCTTATTCCTTTTTATGTTCACTTCTCTAGGATTCATGTATGAAATGTTTACATACCTGCACTAATTGCATCAATGCAATGTCCTTCAGCTGCGTTGATTATATTGTAGTTTTTCTTTTCCTGCTTTCCTTTGGATAGGAATCTCACTGTCCCTATCCCTGCTCCCTGGATACATGTCTTGGAACATGATGTATGGCCAAAATACGAAGTAGGCTAGTAGGCAGTAGCTGCAATCTTTCAAATAAAATACTGAGTGTGGAATTTGCTAAACGTTTTTCTAATCTCTGGCAGTGGCATGTTAATTGATCTGATGTAATTATGTGTTTATTTGTTACTTGCATTTGTTGAAAGCACCTTTTTATTTTCATCTTCCCTTACAATATTTGTATTTTCAGGATAATGGCTCGCCGTGGACACCTAGATGGACTGACTGCCCAAGCTCCAGCTCTGATGCGCCATGGTTCCTTCGCTGCAGGCAGCCTCTCTAGCCACTCACCTTTGCAGTCTTCATCCACACTGGAGATGCTGGAGAGCAAGCTTGGCATGCAAACTGCAGAAGTGGAAAAGCTTATCATGGAGAATCAGCGGTTAGCATCAAGCCATGTGGTCTTGAGGCAGGACATCGTTGATACGGAGAAAGAGATGCAAATGATCCGCACCCACCTAGGTGAAGTTCAGACAGAGACTGATTTGCAGATTAGAGATTTATTGGAGAGAATCAGATTAATGGAGGCAGACATACATAGTGGTGATGCAGTGAAGAAGGAGCTTCACCAAGTGCATATGGAGGCAAAGAGACTTATTACTGAAAGGCAGATGCTAACCCTTGAGATAGAGAATCTGACTAAAGAATTACATAAACTCTCTGCCTCTGGTGATGGTAAAAGCCTTCCTGAATTGCTTGCTGAGCTAGATGGGCTACGGAAAGAGCATCATAATTTACGGTTTGTGACAATGTTCCTTCCTTACATTTTTTGCAACTGCCTGAGCTTTGTTTTAATATGTCTGTGTTTTCCTTTTCCATTGGAAGATCTCAATTTGAATATGAGAAAAATACAAACATCAAGCAAGTTGAGCAGATGCGGACAATGGAAATGAACCTGATAACCATGACTAAACAAGCTGAGAAGTTACGTGGTGATGTGGCAAATGCTGAAAGACGGGCACAGGGTAAATATTCTCATCCTCTTGATTTGGCCTGCAAGTTATCCTCATTCCTGTAATTGTTAGGTTTTGAGTTGAACCTTACTGGGCTGTACTCTTAGATGGGAGCAGTATTATTTCTATTCCATCTGTTTTGTGTTTAGTTTGTCAAGACTGCTAGGTTTTTGTCCTAGTAGTGTGAATCTCAAAACTGCTCGTTCATAAGTTTCCCCATCTGAATCCTGATTTCCCTACTTTCAACAGAATTTGCAGTGTGATATTATCATTTGTAGGTCTTACCGTCTTAGTAGGAGGCTAGGAGTAGAGGGTAGTGGAGGCGAATCTGGGCCTCTGCATAGAAGTTCCATGGCCCATAGATCCCCAACAGGCTGAACTGCAGGCCTATTTAATGTCTCACCATGGATTACTGTTGGAATGAGCAATTTGGCCCCCCTTACTACTCCGCCATTGCATCTTAGGTTAATGACACGTGGGTTGCTTGTATTTGAAGAAAACATAGTGTAAAGTGTCCGTAGTGGATAGTCTCTTGTACAGCAGGGACGGCATCATGGTCTAGATTTGCAGACATAAATCAGAACAATACTTTATAAAGTCTGATTAGTTTTAGTCATTTATCAAGTTTTTGCCCATTGTATGCTGCAGAGCACAGTTCTGGGGGTTGGGGGGATGACCAACGGAAAAAATCATTAGTGACAAATGAAATAGAAGTCACGAGAGCTGACCTTTCTAATTTTATAATGCAATACAGTATTACGGTTACATGCATAAAGTCAAGTTGGATATCCAGTTTGACATTTTTTTAGAAGAGTGGATATAGGAACAAACTGAGTCTTTTGTTCATCATTCCACATTCTGTGTTACCGGCTTAGTACAATGTGTAGTAACCACTGCCATTGTATTGACTGGTTCTCATTATAGTTCATTGTTGTGACACAGCATAAATACATAGCTATATTTTCCTCTGGAAATGAATAATTGTGTTGTTTACAGTCTAGAAAGGTAGGCATAAGTTACGTATCAATCCTTTGAAATTGTCCATGATTTTATTGCACTTTAGCGCATACTAATCTATCATTAGCAATATTGTATCAAAAGTGATTGGCCTAAACTAAGCTTCAACTTATCTAGCAAATTTGCTACATCTGATTTCTGTGGTACAGCTTAACTGGAAGCTTTTGGTAGCTGACATGTGAATGATAGGTTTTCTTTTTCAAACTTACCTGAGGAGATGTTGCCTAAGCTTTGCCAATTTTTATATCACAAGCATTTTATTTTGGGCTTCAATATCATAGCTGGAAGCATATAGGACATAGCAAACTGCTCTGTAGCTCAAGGCCTCTATTGTATAGAGAGAAAACCTTTGCATATGCAATTTACGAGAAATTGAAATGATTAATTTTCTGCGCATGTGTGCATGATTTTTCTTGAGATATACATGTACATATTTTACTCCTTAATTGCATAATACCATACTCTAATATTTTATTTCCATCCTTTTTTCTCAATGAACAGCAGCTGCGGCTCAAGCAGCGGCACATGCAGCTGGTGCACAGGTGACAGCTTCACAGCCTGGGACAGCTCAAGCTACAGCGGTTTCAGCAGCAGCTACAGACCCATATGCAGGTGCATATGCCAGTTACCCCTCGGCATATCAGCAGGGAGCCCAGGCTGGGGCATATCAGCAGGGAGCCCAGGCTGGGGCATATCAGCAGGGAACCCAGGCTGGGGCATATCAGCAAGGAAACCAGGCTGGAGCATACACCTATGCTTATGATGCTGCCACGGCTTACGCATATGCAGGTTACTCTGGCTATCCAGTTGCAGGCTATGCGCAAAGTGCAGTGCCCAATTATTCCTATGCCGTACCTCCACAGCCAAGCAGCGGTGCAGCTACAGACGCCGCAAGCCTGTATGGCACAGCTGGTAGTGCTGGATATCCTACTGGGCAAGTTCAGCCGAGCAGTGCCACTGCAAATGCAGCGCAACCACCTCCACCACCGCGGGCAGCACCATATCCTAGCACATATGACCAAACCAGAGGAGCCCAGAGGTGAAATCTGGGGATGTAAACCAGATGGCTGTTTGACATGCATATTTGTTGAGCAGACAATTATATAGATTCTGTCATGCTGCCGCTTTTGTAGATTGATTACTGGTTCAGTTATGTAGATTCAGTCGCGGATAGCTTAATTGACATCATGGAAGAGTTGATGTATGCTCAACTGTTGGTACATGGGTTGATTGGATTAGCTGTTGGTTAAGGATGATTCGGCCAGCAATGCGGCATTAAACCACACAAAAAAAGTGTAGCGTCGTTATTCTGTATTCTTTTATATATCATCTATTTGCAAGTATAGTGTAGGACTGTAGGTCGTAGCGTCGTTATTCTGTATTCTTTTATATCATCTATATACAAAAAAAGTTTGTGTATATGTTGATGTAGTCAGGTCCAAAGTCAATTGGCTAAATGGCCTCCTCTTACATCAGACCTTCAGATTCTGGAAAATCCGTAGACGCTGGCTTGTTAGTAAACCAACCAAAACCCTACAAATCTGAAAGAGTAAATAAACCAACCAAAAGCCTACACGCAAAGATGCAGCGAGCATGGGGCTGGGTATAGCCGCAGCCCGCAGGCCTTCTAGGGCGGGTATTGTTCTTATGTTTGAATAGTTGCTACCATAGCTGTAACTACTAACTATTGTTGGATCTGGTAGCATCTCTGTTTCTGCCACATTACCATTGATATGGTTATGATGACATGAAGCTACTGTATGCACATCACCATATGAAAATTGTGAATATAATAACTGGTTAGATGCAGCAGTTTGTGATTTTCCATGACTACTTAGCGCCTATAGCGCTTAAAGTCGTTTTAATGTGTTTTTACCGCTGACACCTACGTGCTGTTTGGCTGGTTCCAAAGTAACCTAAACGTTAATGAAATTAGTTCAAACTTACATCCCGCCGGTAACATCCGCGGCTTATTATCATTTATGTTTGCGTTACATTCCTCCGCACCAAACAGCTTGCTAGTTTCTTACTACCTCTGCCCAGAAAAAGTACAATTCTAGGTGCATTTTTTTGTTAAAGTGTTCAAAAATTTAACCAAACATATAGTTAAAAAATATTGATGACTGTGATACTAAATAAGTATATATTATAAATATATCTTATGACAAATCTAACTATACTTATTTGATATTATAACTATTTATAATAAAATATATAATTAGTCAAACTTGAGATATTTTAAACTGCTAATGTGTTAGAATTGTATTTTTTTATGGAGGGAGTACATAAACAAATTCAGAAACACAGTGACAGTTTTTTCTTTGGAAAATTCGTGTGTTCTGCTTGCCCTCCCTCCCTCCCTCCAGGCTCCAGAGCCTGCTGCCTCTCCATGGCCTGGATCTGGATGGTCCCCGTGGCGGGAGCCGTGCTCCTGTGGGCGACCTCTCTGGGGCGGATCCTCTCCTACCCTGCGCCGTCCTGTGTGCCCCCGAGCCCGCAGTTCATGCCCCCTCTCCGCGGCGACAGGAGGAGCCGGAACGTGCTGCTGGTCGTCGCCCACCCCGACGACGAGTCCATGTATGCTACTTCTCCTTGTGTTTTGAGTGCCCAATTGCCATGTCTGTGAAACATCTGCTTAGTTCTCGTTTGACATGTTGCTTCGTTCTTATTGTTTCTTTATCATCTTTTGTGTTGCTACAGGTTCTTTGCTCCAACCATTCTTTTCCTCAAGTCAAAAGGTCACAATATTCACATTCTGTGCATGTCCCGAGGTTAGATGGCAAGCAACTGACGCTATATGTTTGTTTATATGTTGCCCTATACATTTGTTCATCTGAGCCCAGCACCGAACAGGAATGACCAATTGGCCATTGTAATGTCTGCTAGGATGCATCATAAAACTGTCATAGGCAACCATGATGTCTGTTTACTCTATGCTTTACAGCACAAATTAGATATTCATCTCTGATGGATGGATGCACGGTGCTTAAACATGCAGTGCCATTGTGTATAGGTGTTTTTTAGTGAATTAAGAACAGTGATAGCCAATGAAGTAAAAATAGTACCCTGTACATCTCAAGCATTGTCGGAGCTTTTAGCAGTAAGTTTAATAGTGTTTTTAACCCTGACATGTGAACAGAAAATCACCAAGAACTAACTTATTCCTTCCACAGGTAATGCTGATGGTCTCGGAAATACTCGTAGAGAAGAATTGTACCATGCCTGTGACACCCTTAAGGTACTCAGATCGTTAACTAGCTCATTTTACCCTCAAAGAGCAAGCTTTGTACAGTTGCTGAATCAGCTCATGTCATTACAGATTCCACACGAACAAGTTAAAGTCTTGGACCACCCGAAATTGCAGGTACTCTGTTTTGGGTCCATACTTGCATACCTGTACATACTGTTTCAAAAAACATGTGATCTTGACCCTATACATTTCACAGGATGGATTTCATGAGAAATGGGACCATGGGCTAGTAGCAGAACTTACTATGGAGCATGTCCAACTATGGGCCATTAACATGGTAGTGGCTACATCTCAGAGACCTTATGAACTTCAAAATACATGGCATTTTTAGTATTTTTTCATTGAACACGCAGGAGAGCTGTGTATCATTATGGAGATTAGAGCCCCGCACAGTTCATACACATACCTAGCAGAAAATAAAACTCATGTGGCTAGTAAACATGAAAAACAACCCTGACCATCATTAAATTCCAAGCATTTTAAGTATGCTACCAGCTTCTCCTCTCGCTCTTATTCTTGAGCCATTGATTGTGCTTGTTTCTTTGATCCTCCATATTATAGTGTTGAAGTAACATGAGTAGTTGAGTACACAAATGTGCGGGTCTGCATTATATGTAACACACGACATGTTTACAAAGCAAATCTCACAAATTGCCAGTTCTTCTTTTTAACCTCGGAATAATTTAGCAAATGACATATTGGGGTGATGCTTGTTCAAACGTTCTCATCTTTTCTTCAGAAAAAGAACACTTGTGACTACAGTTTGCGAATTCTACTTAAAAATCCTGAGAGTGAATCCTTGGTATCTGATACATCTGAATAAATTTCCATAATTTCAAATCTCAATATGATTTCCTTGTTAATACTGTACACCATATTCAGTTGCTTTACCTTCATTTGCTATGTACTTAAATTTTTTTGTACTTATTTTGTTTTCCTTTCTAGGCCCTACTTACTGATGCAATATTTGATGCCATTTAGATTGTGACATTTGATTCATATGGAGTATCAGGGCACCCAAACCACAAAGATCTTCATCACGGCATATGGTTAGTTCAGTTATCTGGTTTAACACTGCATGATTAGCCACATGCATGAATTGCTGAAAACATTGGGATTCCAATATGTTGGGAATCAGAACTGTTGTTGTTCTTTGATTGTACACAACTTGTTCTCATTTCATTTACTTTTGCATTTTTTACTACACATATGCATGTCACATTTATGAGATAGTTTTGTATTTTTATCACTCAGTCTAAAAAACTCTATTTCTATATGAACAGCAAGTTTCTCCATGCAAACAGGCAAGGAAACATTGAAGCTTGGGAACTAGTAAGTTTTTCCCTTAAATCCTTTGACAACCTTCTTTAGATTTACTTCTCAGAGTGATTTTCACTGTAGAGAGGAAGATAATATGTGTTACTTTCTTGACTTTGTCAGTGCTATGTTTAGCAAAAGCTACGGATCTCACTTCGGTCGCAAAAGTGGTTTCTTTAGATAGTACAACAGCGTGTGTTCCACCGTTGTAGCGGTGCCTTGTGTTAGTGCTCACCCCATTGCTAGGTGGCATCTGGCCATCTTGCGATGACGGGCGTGTAAAACATTCTAACTTCTTCTTAATGAAACACATGCTAAGCACGTTCCCGAAAAAAAAGTCGGAAACTGAGAATCTATAATGTTACAGCATACATTTGCCATCTCTATTGGGGTGATGACCTAGTATTTTAAATATTATTTTTTTCAGAGACTTTGGCACTAGGATAATTAACGTCCTAGTTGATTTTTACATGGGAAAATTAAGCTGTTGTGTTCTTAATTCTTATGCTATATGGATACTGGATAAAGACAAAGCTAGTGACTTTACTATTTAACATCATTTCTGTATATATGCGAAACTTCCTGGCCACCTTATCTTTAGTTTACCCTCTCATTTTTGTTTTGGTCTTGATTGTATCATGTTTTTTCTTCTTGCTGGAAGTAGTACATTAGTGTGGAGGAAAGATGATCCATGCTGGATTATTTGTAAATGCAGGCAAGCCTGAATATTCTTCGCAAGTACAGTGGTCCGGTTGACATATGGCTTTCTTCGTTGATATCCTTCTCAAGGTCAAAGCAATCAATCTATACTCTAGTTAACAGTAGACCGTCCAAAAGCTATGAGGCAATGGCTGCACACAGAAGTCAGTGGGTTTGGTAAGTATAAGAGTTTCATATTTGCATTTTCATGGAGAAAGCATTGTTTCTGTCAACTTTAATAGAGTGCTGGAGATCAATCCACGTAGCCACTATAAGTTCATAATGAAGTTTCTGATTGCATCATATTTATATCATTGCACACAATATATAATGGCCAACATATAATGAGTCAGCGACTTGCTAATTGCTGCCAATACAGTATATCATCAAGATGGCATCTATCAATACCTTTTAGTTGTATCAGGAAACAATATGGGCTGTGTTTGACTCAGCAGTTACGGAATGTGTTTTTTTTTCCTCTCAAATATAGGGAAGCTCTTTTTTGAATTAAAGATAATCAACATATTCCATGTGTCTTTGCAGGTTTAGAAGATTGTTTGTCATCTTCTCGAGCTATACGTATGTAAATGTGCTACAGAAAATTTAATGATCTAATGTCATGTCAGAGCTGTCCGCCATTCTCGTCTCCAGTGTCGTACTTATACATTGTCAATTGTATGTATCAAGGGATTCAGTTGTACATTTTCTGTCCATAGCCAGTGCTCATAGTGTGACAGTAGGACTTGTTCCCAATTTTGTAGTACTACAGAATTTGTAAGTTCTTAGCACTGGAGTATGCTCAGTAGCTTATGGGTGTGGTCAAATGATTTCTGGTTCAAGTTTGATGTCCTTAATGAACTGATCTGCTAATCCTTTTGTACTACCTGCCACTAACAGAATCCTTGAAAAAATAATCACATACCCGTTCGCTGGAGGCCAGTTCACAAATCATTAAGAATCAAGGGGACTATAGGAAAGACTCCCCGTTTGAAAATGCAGACCCCAATCCTTTTGTACTACCTGCCACTAACAGACTGTTTTCGCGGAGCCAGGCTTGGCTAGTGTTTGCCTCACCTCCTGACTCAGGTCCTTGCTGCCTCACCTCCCGCCCTTAGGTCCCTGCACCTGCATCTCCCACACCTCCGAGCACCGTGCCAAGCTCCAAGAGCACCCCACGCTGCTGTTGGGCGGCTGTTTTCACAGAGGAGCATGCTTGTGACAGTGGTGGTTTGACATCTGTGCTCGTCACATGTTCGTTAAAATGTCTCAAAGGTAAGCTTACCAACGCAAGGATAGAGTGATTCTATGCAAGACAAACCAGTTAACTAAACATATCATTTCTTATGAATGCTAAGCTAGTCAATGCAAACAAACAAGTGTATCTTGCATTGCCGAAGCCAGTCTTTAGCTATCAAGGCTTAGTTGACTAGCCATGCTAAGTCTTAAACATGAACCAAGCACATGCTATGTGGTTTTCCTCTATCCTCATCCCACAGTTGTTATTAGGATCTAGAAATATGCTAGAGGGAAGTGAATAGCCAGATGCCCACTAAAACCAAAGACACTAAGTAATTTTGATTAGAAACATAAATGACCTTAATAATGTTATTTCTAGCTAGAGATTTGCTTTCTAAGATGACGAGTGCAAGCAAACAATTCTAGGAATGTAAACAACACAATGTAGGTACTAGAATTGATAGTGAGCTTCAAGAGATACCACACAAAATAACACAAGGTATATCTTCATGGTATTGGTGACTTACCGGTCACCCCTAGTCCATGTTTAGGTGAGCTCTTGGTTAACCACTCCTCTATCAAGCTTCCAACCCACAAAGGTTGCCTAGGTGCCTTGAGCACTTGATCTTCAGTAGGATACAACAAGAAGCTACTCAATACCTCTTTTAAACTAGAGTCGCTCTTCACCTCCTCCCACAATAGCCCCTCACAAATCCTCCTCCGAAGCACCAACACAATCTTCCTTATGCTTCACGGAGTCTGCAAGCTTTAGGTCGTCTAGGCAGCGGCAACCACTAAGAGTAGCAAGAAAATTGCTTCCAATATAAAATAACTCAATGCAATGCACTAGAATCTTGATTTCACACTCAAATGATGAAATCTAAAACAAGTATGTGAGTGAAGAGACTTAGAGTATGCACAATGATGATATATTATGATCTTTATAAAAAATATAACCTGTTGATACACTTGATAAATGGTTATTCAATTGATGATGATAACTAATAATGAGTTTAAATGGAGCTTGGAGTGACCACTCAGAAAAACAGTGGAACCACAAGACTACATGGGCAATGGTCTTGGTTAAGTAATTGGATTTCTCTAGTTTGTCAATAGCTTATCAAAAGACGCAAGAGAGAGACCGCGGAAGGTGTTTTATTTGTTTGGTTTTTGTCTCCTCTTGGGGGGAGGGTTCACTCACACAGATGAGGTGAAATTAAAGAGAGGGGATAAGAAGATGAGGTGAAATCAACATATGGGCAAAATTGCCACTTTAGGTCTGATATTTGGCCAAAGAAGATTAAATGAGAGTTAAAATCATGAAATGGCATTTTAGTGGATGTGTATCGTTTCATAAGGGCAACCTAACGAAACCCACAAATTTGATGACACTTTGGCAATATCCACTTGCCATAGGTGCAAATTTCCAATTTTCTCATCTGCTTTTGTGAAGTTGTCTTGAATTCTTTATTCCTGTGAGACGCATAAGACATGTTTGGGGTACAGCTCGAAGTTGTCAAAGCACACGTGTGCATCCGGAACTATAAGGGAAACGTTGGCTTTAATGTAAGTGGCTTGTTCATGTGTCTAGTCCGCTGATCCCCAAAACCGTGCTTGACCTTATTGATAGCCGGCGTAGGGCCTTCCTGTGGACTGGGGGAAGTGATAAATGTAATGGTTCTCAGTGCCTAATCTCTTGGGACCGAGTCTGCCTCTCCAAGGATGCTGGTGGTCTTGGTGTCCGCAATCTGGAAGATCAGAATCATTGCCTCCTCATGAAATTGGTCTATAAACTACTTGGTCCTGATGATCTTCCATGGAAACAATGGTTTATGGTTCTTTCATAACACAACTGGTGATCTAGGGGCTAGTGACCCAACTAGCTTCCTTGACCGCATAGTTCATGAGGAGCTCCAGCGGTTCAGATCCCTCACGAAGGTAATCGTCGGCTATGGCGGCTCCACCTCCTTCTGGCTCGACAAGTGGACCAAAGCTGAGCCCCTGGCTACTGTCTTTCCAGCTCTCTTCACTCACTGCCGCTGGCCTCTCTGTAATGTCAGGGATGTCCTCACTCATGGCCTCGAGGCCACCCCCATCCCCGGCTTACAAACCAGGCGCAAGCAGATTTGGAGCTGCTCCGCTCTTTGTTGGTCACTGTCTCCCTCAACGACTCCCCGGACCGCCGGCTCATGGACGCCCCGGGGAGCCATCCTTTCTCGTCCCGTGAAGCCTACCATGCTCTCCATGCCGGAGACCCCGTACTCCTTGGCCCGCAACTAATCTGGGGCTGCAGGTTCCCCGGGAAGCTAAAATTCTTTGGCTGGCTTGTCCACTTCGATAGAATCAACTCTAGGGCAAGTTTGTTTTGGAAAAACATCCGGCCGCTGGACGAGTGCTTCTGTCCGAGCTGCCCCGGAGTTCTGGAAACAAGTGACCACATCTTCATCGTTTGCCCAAAGGCAACCAGCGTCTGGAGCCGACTCAACATTGCTGTACAAGCTGGCGACCAAACAGCGCCCTGAGATATTGGACGGACCATCAATTTACCTGCTAAGGTTCGGCTTGATATGATGCTCATCATTCTCTGGCATATCTGGAAAGCTAGGAACGCGACCATCTTCGACTCCGCGACCACCACCACGACTTGTGTGCTACGCGCAGCAATCAAAGACGCCGGTCCCTGGGCGTGCAGGTACAAGAAGGATAAAGCTTGTGACAGCCTAGATAGATTATCTTCAGTGTTGTTGTAACAACGCGTAATTTTACTCTCTATGCTCAGTTCTCCACACCCTTCCCTATACACTTTTGTACACCTTCTGGGATGTCGGAAGTAACTTATACTTTGTTCGAGCTTTTTAGCTCCCTCGATTCAATACAGTAGGTGGGAACTCTCCCCCAAATTGGTCGAAAAAAAAGTTTAGAGGCCGTACAATTACGACTGTTTAGAAAAGGAACATGACGGTAGGCACTAAACAACGATCTGGTTCCAAGTTGCAATGATGGAGACGATTCCGATTCTTTTTTCGAGAACGTGCTTAGCACGTGTTTCATTAATAAGAAGTTTGGAAAGCTTACACGCCCCTCATCACATCATGACGAGTTACCATAAGAGATGGGGTTAAACACCGACAAAAGACACCGCTAGGCGGTGAAACACACGTTGTTGTGACTAAGAAACTAATTGTGCGACCTAAGAACTTGGTATGCGCTGTCCGGTAGGGGACGACAATGAAGCGACATTGAGCAGACAGCGCTCAATCCGACACCGGTGTCACCCTACCCCTGCGCTAACGAAGAGACGATTCCGATTCAGTCACCAGATTATGGCACTAACTGGCAAGGGGCAGCAGCGAGCCGTGAGCCGTCCCTGACGGTACGGCTTCTCGTACTGTGAAAAGATCTACAGATCAAATGTGCTGAAGCGACAATCAGATAGGCACCTTACATCCATTCTGAGCTCCTAACTGTTAAGAATCAGATCAACCAAACACAAGCCAGCGATCTCATCACATGGATCCATCTTCACACGTAGTAGTGACTAGGCTTAGTATTAACCATAGATCTAATCCTATGATTACTATTCATCCGTGTAAAGCACGGGCATCTCGAAGGGGCGTCAAGACAGTTCATTCATTCTTTGTCCTTGTCTCTTTACATTTAAACACTAACCTAACCCTAGAGATGGGATGGACTTTCTTATCCTTGTAGCGACCTGGCAATTGACCATAATATCAGGGACAACCGGAACATGGCATTTGGAATGAACTGTTAGCATTTTGCTCTTCCAAAAGATGCCAAGGTCTCAAGGTTGAACTAAGTAACTAACCACATGACTCCAAGACCTCTCTTTGCGCAGTCTTTATCAATGTATGCAAGAAAGTAGAAGCATCGCAGCATGAAGGGTTGGTGACAGAGGCATGTGCCAGGAAAGGGAGTTTCCTCAATGACCGGCCACTAAGTCCCTGCAAAGAGATATGAACCACCACCATTTAACGAGAAATGGAGAAGCCTTGGTTACAGCAAACAGCATGTGGGTCAGCTTCATTATTTACCTCACACAGTTTTGCGGCTTCATAGAGTAGACTGGATAACTGAAACGCACCATGGGGTTCTGCAGCCTCAGGACAGTGCTTCTTCTCCTTCAGGGTCGAATAGTTCAGAATACACGGCACACTACTACCCTACAATTGGAGAATTTCAAGGTTACCAATAGTTGCAGTAAATAAAATTGAAAAGCAAAGTGCTACCACTGAAATCAAGAAAAAAGATCCGCTCATAGTTCTGCATGATCAAAGCAACCATCATGAGCTCTGGTAGGCTGATACAGTGACAGTAACACTATGAAAAGTTGGCAAGTTGGCCTAATTTTTTACTATTTAACCCTTTTTTTGAATAAAATTTACATTTGGCCCCCTGAGAGACTTAAACTCATCTTTGGACTCTGGGGGTCGGCGCCATGAGTTCTGGCGCCGAGGTAACACGTCTCGGCGCCACAGATCTTGGCGCCGAGGTAACTGGCTGTGCACAGAAGAAAATCCTACGTGGCCGGTACCTCGGCGCCACGGACTCTGGCGCCGACCTCGGATAATTAAAAAACTAGCGTGTAGCAGTGCCCTTGCGTCAGGATGGAGCAACCGCACCACGTGCCTGTCAGAGAGCTCAGTGACCAGGTACGCAGCATGCTTCGATTCGGACGGCATCGCTTTGCGATCTGCGCGCAGCAGCGTGGGCGACAATTTGGCAGCCGGGCAGCGATGGGACGAGGCGGGACGGCGAGCGGGGCTCAGGCACTTGAAAGGAATAAAAAACAGCAGGCCATCGTTTCATGCTTCACGCACTGTCAATCGTGCTCGTGTCGTGCCTGTTTGATAGGAGTACTAGTAGGAGGAGTACGTATCAGACTATCAGCTCAGCTACTAATAAAGAGCATCGAACTTATGGGGTGTTTGGTTCTTCAATGGCTCGTAAAATTCATGTCATATCGAATGTTTAGATACTAATAAAGAGTATTAAATATAGATTAATTATAAAATCAATTACATAGATGGAGGCTAATTTGCGAGATGATTTTTTTGATAACTAATTAATCTGCCATTAGCACATGTTTACTGTAGCACCACGTTGTCAAATCATGGACTAATTAGGCTTAAAAGATTCGTCTCGCAAATTAGTCGCAAGTTGTGTAATTAGTCTCGTAATTAGTCTATATTTAATACTCCATGCATGTGTCTAAACATCCAATGTGACAGGAATTTTAGGAGCGCCTGTACAAACCAAACAGGGCCTGAGTTTGTTATTATTTCTTAATTATTGTCGTCGTTCTTTGATAAGCTGTGTGTTATTCTCATTACAGGTATGATAGATACAGCAAACCAATTATGTACTGTTCTCCATTTTATAAAAGGCGTGCCTTCTCATCGCGTGTATAATTTTATAAAAGAAAAGTATTGGAGTAGTTCTCTTATCATTTATGTCTTCTCACCATGGAGAGGCGTGCTGCATACGTTGAACTGCAGCTTAAAAGCAGCAACCTGATGGTGCCGCTGCCGCTATTGGCAATGTGCCCCGATTCGCAGCAAATGAAGCTGATAGCTCCTACTAGTACTCCTATCAAACAGCACGACACGAGCACGATTGATAAAGGCGTGAAGCATGAAACGATGGCCTGCTGTTTTTATTCCTTTCAAGTGCTCGAGCCCGCTTCGCATCCGCCTCGCCCCATCGCTGCCCAATCCGTTGCCCACGCCTCTGCAAGCAGACGCGCAAAGCGATGCCGTCCGAATCGAAGCATGCTGCGTACCTGATCACTGAGCTCCCTGACAGGCACGTGGTGCGGCTGCTCCATCCTGACGCAAGGGCGCTGCTACACGCTAGTTTTTTAATTATCCGAGGTCGGCGCCAGAGTCCGTGGCGCCGAGGTCGGCGCCATGTATTATGGCACCGAGGTACCGGCCACGTAGGATTTTCTTCTGTGCACGGCCAGTTACCTCGGCGCCAAGATCTGTGGCGCCGAGACGTGTTACCTCGGCGCCATAACTCATGGCGCCGACCCCCAGGGTCCAAAGATGAGTTTAAGTCTCTCAGGGGGCCAAATGTAAATTTTATTCAAAAAAAGGGTTAAATAGTAAAAAATTAGGGCAAGTTGGGCACCAAGTTGGCAAAGCAGGACATACCTGAGGATATGTAAGAATGCCAACTCTTAAGAGCTCCTGTATGCATGACCTCAAGATCTCGTATCGTGCTTGAAGCATAGGGGGTCCGACATATGCCTTAATGTCTGCCCTGTCAACAAATGCAATATCTGCCAGTAGACAGTAAGCAATAGGTAATTACAGAAGTCCTTATACAGAGTGTTCTCAGAAACAAACTGCGAGATCAAATCATGAGTGCTCATAAAAAAACATAACGGTAGTCGATCCAAGAGAAAGAAATTCTACAGAGCACACATGATTTGTATTTTGATGTCAAGAAGATATTTATAAGTTAGCTATTATATTATTTTAATCAAAAAAATTAGGAAATTTGCTTCCATGGAAATGGATAGTTCATCAACCTTAAAGAATATTATTATGTTTAGTGGTGTGACTGCAGAACTGCTTTCTCATAATAAAGTGATTCACTCAACCAACTAACAACGTGTGACTGTCAAGATGATTATTCATAGCCCTACGGTTAAAGAGTCAAATGGCAGGAAATCTAGTACCTATTGCTGTAGTGATATTTGATGTTGTTAAAATGATAACATTTGGCCAAGACTTCAGTTTGTCCATTTGTGTTAGCAGTGCATTCACAACCTGAAGTTGCACAAGAGAAGAATATAGTGTAAACATTAGCCAAGAAATAATACATGACCAGGAAAAAAAAATTAGGATGAAAACTTTACTCTAATGGAGTCTGAAGGTTCAGAGCCAGATATGGCAGCTTGTCTGGCAGCAGCAAGGCTTTCAACTTCATCTACAATATATATACATATCATATATAAGATTGAGGTTTCAAATATATAGCATGCAGCAAATCAAGTACCCTATTTTCTCAAGCCTTAGGTAGCACTCTATAGGACTACTGCTTGTGTTATGTGTTTGCTTGCTTCAACTAGGAGACAATGCTGAGGTTAAGTGAAACTGTGCTGGATTCAGGGTCCATGCGCGCCTATGCACATACAGGATGTGATCAGGGGGGTGGACTCATATCTAATTCAGACCAAGGTATCAAACAAAGCAGACTCATTCAGGGTCACCTGTCACGACTCAAGAACATACCTATCAATACAAATACCAGGTTGCTTTCTTCCTCCACCATCTCCTGGATCTTCTGGAAAAGTTTGGCAACCTAAAGGACAATGGATAGAATGTGGATTGTCAGATGTAACTATGGGTGAGTAAGACAATATTTCCAGAATATAATTCGGATTTGTTGGTGAAAAAAGAAGAAATAGGTTGTCATTCCATTACAATATCATCAAACAAGAGAAAGAGCTAATTTCCTGTTTGGGTATTTCAATTGAAATACCCTTTGTGGGTGTTTTATGTAGAAATACTGTTTTTCTTATTTTGACAATCCAGAATCCACCATACAGAAAAGATAAAAGTGGTTCAGGAACTATTAAATTAGGGAGCTCATGCATATGAACATATGATAACAGCTTAGCACAAAAAGGCATACCAATTTTCCACTTTCAGAAAACCACTTGCTGAACAGCGAATGAGCATTCACTTCAATCAATTGACACATAGAATACCTAGTATATACAAGTGTCAGTGAAGAATAACACATCTGGTAAAAAAAGTATATCTCATTTAGCACGGACCTTGACTTGAAGCGAATGGAAAGTTTCTGTGCTAGTGCTTTACACAAGGAAGTCTTTCCTGTTCCAGGTGGACCATGCAAAAGTACAATCCTGTAATTTGTAAAAAATAAAAGCATGAAGAATCATTTTGAGTCATCAGGTCGCGGGTTCGAAGCAGCCTCTCCGCAGATTTTGCGGGGGGAAGGCTTGCCTCGGTTTTTCCCTTCCCCAGATCCCACTCATGTGGGAGCCTCCGGCACTGGGTCTGCCCATGAAGAATCATTTCACTCTATAGAGTACACAATCTTTTACTTTGTTTTTTGTAAAATAAATAGTGACTGCAAATGTGTATAACAGTGTTACAGATGCTTACCGGTTCCATGAAACCAGACATGTATCCACACCTCTTTCAGTAAAAAGCAAAGCACTGGCAGCATATCTCAGCAACCTCTGCTTGAGACCAACTTCATATAGTAAACTGCAAACACTAATGAGATCATCCACAGAACAAAAATGGAGATTGAAGTGGTTAAGGATAAGCAGTATTTACCTTTCCCACAAACCATCAAATTCTTTGGCAGGTAAGGCCCACTCATTAAAGCTAGAGAGCGTATCATCCTCGCTTGGTTCCTCACCAGGACCATCTTCACTCAGCTACAGCATAACCAAATGAGTTTGAGGTGAATAAACTGGACAGCAGCTAGTATATTGAATGGATACAAAATATGGAACGATTTTTGTTTCGGAACGAAACCATTCCTCAGGATCAATATTAGGATGTAAAATGTCCCCAGAAGAAACAACTGTAACTTGAACTCAAAACAACAGCTAAAATTCAGCAGTGGTGGGAGTATGTCCAGATAAAACAGCTATAGCATTTTACTGAGTGAAGAAGCAAGATAACCAACATGGTCACATGGAATCATGTTGACATAAAAAAATGACATCAGTTTTGGATAGAACTGCAAGTGATTAGGAAGTAAACGTAAAACATTAAGAATCTCATACCTGGAACACATGCACAACAGGCTTAACTTGCCAAAATAAGAGAACTTTGCGATTCTCAGCCCACTCATCTGCATAAATGTTTAGCACTCAGAATAAGGATGTTATGAGTAACAGAGCACAAGTAACCATAATTCCCAGCCTAAGTGAATGACCATACCAGTGTCACATATTCGTATCCTTTTGACATTTTCAAGAAGAAAAGAATTATCAGCAGGAATTGGCACAGGCCCATCAACATAGCTTAAGCTTCGAGCTTCTAGCATCCTGATTGAGCGAGTACAAAACTATAAGCATGAGCAACAGTAAATTTTAATATCTCATGAGAGAAGATGGCAGTTAGTGTGAAAAAGTTTAATAAAGCACTTAAGCTAGCATTAAAATGCAGAAAGTTTCTTCAGAAAACTATGTTAGGTCCATGACTTTACACCACCAATTCACATGTTGACAAGAAAGAGATGAGCCTTTTGGCACTATTTTCTTAGCATACCACTACTAACGACAGGATTTAGAGAACACTTGAGTTCTTCATAATTTCATTAAGCCATTGACTGGCTTATAAGCATTTCACAAACCAATAATCTCCACCTAACCACTAATCAATCACAGGACTTGGAAATTGTATGACATTTTTTCTTTCCAAATTTGCTCCTACTCCATAGTCTGGGCTCTGATTACTAATTTGTGAATGGCAATGGCAGGAGTGTGGATTACTGACATAGTACTAATCTGGGCTCTGGGATCTGCTTCAGTGGCAAACTGGTGACTGGTGCATGTGGTTTCCACTGCCCTCTGCAGCTGAACTGGTGACTGGTACCTTGTTGTTAGTACCATACAAAACTTTGTATACTATGTACAAACTGTCTAGTTGACGTTTCTACTTCGTATTAGCTATTTGTCAGGTGATTTGACTGTTTAGCATTTGGGTGCACACTGGGAACCTATTAGAAAATCTTGAAAACTCAGTCCCGATTTGCCACATTGTTTTATCTTTGCATTCTGCCACTTCCTCCAGAAATACAAGTTTCTTATCAGACATTTTAAGCATGGCTCAGTGCAAAATAAGGCCGTCAACACTTAATTTCACATTTTTCAGAGCCCCCACCATCTCTAAACCAACTCACGTGCACTGCTCATACTACTCACCAAATCACTAAACAACGATAAGAGTATTTTTCTGAACAAAGTCTGGCTAGATCAAGCACGAACCTCTCTACCGCCACCTGGACGTCCTCGTGGCGAGCCGCGCTAGCGGCGTGCAACAGTACCTCAACTGCAGCAGGCACAAAATGAAAAACGGAAAACACACGAAATCGGCGTGTCAACAGCACTCGAATTCGAAATTGTTAGGATGGTGCCCAACGAGAGCGTGGCGGCACCCACCTGACACGAGGACCTTGTCGTCGGCCGGGGAAGGAGCAACCACGGCCGCAGCCACAGCTGCCTGCTGCTGCGGCGGCGAGGAGGAGACCGCGGCGACAGGGGGAGGCAGCACCTGGGGGGCGGCAGGTGCCAGCAACGGGGCAGCGGTGGCGGCACACGCGGCATCCGGAGGGGGAGGGGGTGGGGGTGCGGAGAAGGAGATCTCCATAGGGGCGCTCATGGTGAGCGGCCCAAGCTGCGCGCGCGAGATTTTTCTAGGGTTTTGGGAAATTGGGGAACGGGAATGGAGGAGGTTGTGGACTGTGGAATGGAGAAGGTGATTTTGAGCGGATTTGGGGTTTCCCGCGCTTAAGAAGTTGTAAAGCGAGACGGGCTTGCGTGTGAAAAAGGGGTTGGGTTGTGTAGGAATTATTGGGCTGGTTTGGAGCCCGGTCGAAAGTCCTCCAGTATAGCCTGGCCCAAGAGGCCCTACCACATTTGGTGCCAACAAGTGTGGCTGCTAAAAAAAGCCTTATGTATGGGTTTCAGTGTTTTCTCTTTTAGAAACCAGAGACAATTTGCTGAGGTTCGGAGTAGAAGCCGATATCAAGCTGTACAAAATCAGAATCCAAAAGATTTAAACCCTAATTTTACATAAGTGCAATGTGAACAGATGCACTTCATTTCCAAAGTTAATTTCTTTGCTACCCCGTACTTGTTTTATACGCTCATGCTTTAGTTGTTTTTTAAGAGCTTCTCTTCCTTAACCGAAAGTTGGAACGTTATAATTGTAGATAATTAAATGCAAAACTGTTGCAGAGATAAGAATAAAGTGTTTCTTTTATCTCAATTTGTTTACTCAAGACTGCTATGTAAGTATGTATTTTATCACAGTGGTGGAATCAGAAACATAATAATTATAATAAGATGTGCTAATAATGGACTGGTGCTACTGGCCGCCCCAACACTGGTCTTAACTCCACGGCACACCATACAGCTCTTTCATTTGGCATGAACATATTATTATTATTAATCCTTCTCCGTTTGAAAAAAAGAAAAAAGATATATACGTCGACCCTACTAGGCTACTATTCCTTGCGATTTTGCAAGGAGGACCGTGCCACGGCAGTCCTGGAACATTCCCACGTGAGGTGGCTTGTTCCTCCAACCTATATGTGTTGGAATAAAATAGAATAAAATTTAATTTAATTTCACTTTAATCCACTTTAACCCATATGGATTAAGGTGAATATATACGCATCTAAACGAGTCCGGAATCAAGGCCCAGCAGAGAGTCTAGTCAGTCTACGTACTGGCAGCGCAACAGCTGTGCAGTGCAGGCGCAGGCGCAGCTCGCAATGTGTAGATACGACGCTACGTACTGTACGTGCTAGTACTACAAGAAGCTATGATACGTCGTCCCGTGCCTTGCAGCTTCAATCTCTAGCTAGGTGCCGTGCCGCCGAGGCTCGTCTCGTGTCATGGCGTCCGCGTGTGCTCACGATTTGCTGCTCGACGCTATCACAGAGGAAGTGCAGTAATTACTGACTCCGATCCTGCGTGTCGTGGGCTCTGTGGTTCTAGGGGACTCGACTCGACGACCTGTCGATGCCGTAATCCAGCAGATGACGACGAAACCAAGCACCAAATAGTATCCGTGACGCCGCGAGCGACCCACTGGGCGTGTGTGACTGCGTGCGCAGCAAGAGGCGGTGGCAGATGAACAGAGGTTACAGAGCAAGTGACGGCGACGCGCCGGGCACGCCGACCATGGAGCCCCTAGGACCAGGGCAACTAGAGGAGCTGGTTCGAGAGCAGTCTGACCGGGCCCAGACAGGGACTGCTCCAGAGTCCGGACTCCCCTCCTCCTCTCGTTTCTTTTCAATTAGCCAATAAATATATATGGCTTGCTAGCGCCTGGACATCCAGTTGGACAGGACGCTCACGCATGTAGCCATTTTGCTCGTCGTTTCCCACGCCCACGTGGAGTCCGCTCTGCCCGAACATCCAACATCGAAAAGAGGGAGAGAGGGTGGCGGATGCCAGCCGGCGCTGGGAGCAGAAGCAAACACCGAGGAAGGCGATGCAACACCTGATCTACTTTTAAAATATTTAGATGCAACACCGATCTGTTATTACTACTTAAAAAGTATCGACGGGTTTCGTCCTCGAAGATTTCGTGCGCACGCCCCATCGAAAGTCCAAGACTCGTACTGTCGACCTCCTCGTCCGAACTGAAAAAAAACTAAGGAGGTGGGAAAGAAAAAGGAGGAAAGACAAGGTTTTAGGTGAGAAAAGCGTAAGGGAGAAAGATCTTGCGGGAGAACTTAAAAGGGTATAGAAACAAACTCAGGGTTCCTGATACAAAACATCAAAAAACTGAGATTAGGTCGAGGAAAAAAAGTTAAATAAAAATATTAGGTACTCGATCCTCTAAGGTAGAAGGATGGAGACCGGAGAGATAAAGGCAAGGCGAGTCGTGTTGACATCGAGTTCGAGTCGGAGGGTGACAAATTCTGATCAACAAAAGGCACGCGGACGGGACGGAGGCGATGCCGTGAGGGCAGGAATCCGTGTGCGAGTTCGGACCAGCGGCTGCGGAGCTTTGCCCAGCGCACACCCAGCGACATAACGACGGCTTGGGTAGCCACTGGACGACAGCGTGGCCACGCCGTGGAGTGGAGGATTGAGATGAATGAAAGCGAGATCATGCTTGAAGGAGGCGAGGCCACGAGCCCAAAGGGAAGGAGTCCACATGTGTGCAGTTCGGATGTGCGTATACGTAGATAGAGAAGATACATAAGGAGAGAGAAAAAAAAAAAAGTATGAGAAAAAAGAAGAAAAAGAATATAAAAGGGTACTACGGATATTTCAATGCTTTCAACAGCTAGGTCAATCTGTTTTACCAAATGTTTTTCTAAAACAGCTTTAACTATGCCAGTAAAGATGCTGCACCGTCCAAAGCCAAAAAAAAACTGCCCCACCGGTGAAGCGGAGTTGTACAAACGTACTTTTATTATATCCGTCTAAGCCACAAGCCACGTACGTTGCACCCTGAGGCCTATTAAAAACTTTCTTGTATTTTGAATTCCTACAGGATCGAAAACCTGGTGTTACTACTAATACTTACCTCTGTTTTCGGTTACTTGACACAAAACTGCAAACCTTTAACAATTTCAACCATGCTTTTCTAATAAAGCTTTTAGATACTTTCAATTTTGGGTTAATTGGATACACACCACCGTAATTTTCACGATTTTGAAATACGCCATTACTATTCGCCTAACTGGGCTGGTGCCATTACAATTTCGCAAGAGTTTGAAAGACGCCATTATCTACGCCTGACGCCATCGTGGACTGTGTTGTATTTCCGTATGGACCGATTCGCGCCTCCCCGCGAAAGGATGAGCCACGACGATCGTTAAATCTGTCCATTCCCACACTTGCTGAACTCGATCGATGGCTTATAAAAAAAAAAAGAATTGAAAATGACATCGATGTTGTCAAGACATGCATACATCGTATTGACATGTCAAGCACAGATACAACATTTCCGAAATAAAACATGCATTTTCATGCACACATTTCGAAATTAAAACATGCATCTTCACTTTTCCCTTTGAGCATAGTTCCGAACATGCATTTTCATTATAAATGAACATTGTTCACAACATTCCAAAAGTAAAGATGGAAATATTCCACCAGTCCACATGCATAGTTCGCAAACATCCTACTTAACATCCATACAGATTGGTTCATAGTTCCCCAAACACATCAGGTCACTTAGACCAGCAAAAGCTCCAGAAAAAACAGCATCTACTCCACGCCGAGCCAACTCTTGAGGCTTCTCACCACTCTTGCTTCAAGAGCACTTGCAGCCCTCTTTAGCTTCTTCTTCTGAGAGTCTTCTTCTTCTTCTTAGGCTACCGCTTGTTTTGCGCTTGTCTTCTTCTTCTTTTTTGGTGTCTTGCTCGGTCCTTCATCTTCTTCTCTCACCCTGTAACAGATGGCTATCGGTTAAACATTCCTTGCCCATTTACATTGACAAGCGAATCAGGAATTAGAAATGTACCTTTTAAGTGATGCAAGTGTAGCTGTTTCATCAATACCATCATCATCTTCTGTTGGTTCAGCAAATTTGCAGGTCTTCTCAAAGTGCCCAAAGCCTTTGCACCTTTTGCATTTCACTTTCCTTTTGTTTGCCCTTTCTTTCATACTCCCTCCGATCACGACAACTCTAGGTCACTTTGCTGCCTCTTCTGCTTCGAGAGGTGAGTGCAGTTTGTATCCTAGTTCCACCTTAGGGCGGTCCAAATTCTATCGGGCATGGGTGGAACTCGCATGCGCATATCTTTGCTTCTGAACACGCAGCAGTAGTAGTATTCGTGCACAAAATCCTTGATTTCCAAGCCTCTATTGGACAAGATCCAAGCAAGTGCATGCCTACAAAGGTTTTCCTGTGACTGCCATACCCTCACAATTTGCACTTATGATTGACTAGGTCCATTTGTATGCCTTTAGGTGTTGTTCCATTCATCAATAAGGGTAACCTCGGCAAATTCTTCATCACTTATTGCAACTTTGACTAACCTCAAGTGTTTGCTAATTAGGTTCAGCTCCTTGGTAACACTTGGCAAAATGCCTTCACCCATTTCTCTACCAACCTTTCTCCTAAGAAACCTCTTCTCCATTATCATCTCCCCGAGCCCATCAACTAACTCATGTATGAGCAGCCCTTTCATGTCCCTCACACGACTATTGAAGCTCTCGACACATTGTTTGTCGAGATAATCACATTTATTGTCTCTCGAGAACCCAGCCCTATACCAGATTCGGTTGTGGTGATCTTCCAAGTACTTAATTGCTTCAGAGCAAAATCATGTATCTTCTTCAAGTGCCACTTGAACAGCCCTTTAGTGTAGCTTCTAGCAATTTGAATAGAGATGAGTTGTGAAAACATCTCCGTGTAATGCTTCATGAAGTTGGAATATAAATGCCTCATGCACTCTCTGTACTCAATTTCGGGAAACACAAAGACCAACCTGCTTTCTCCAAGCCCTTACATGCATCAGTACAAATCACTAGTCCATTTGGCCTCCCAATGACCCTTCTCAAGCTGATGCATAAACCATGTCCAGATTGTCCTCATTTTCACGATCAAAAATACCATAAGCAATGTAATATAACCAGTTATGTCCATCAATTCTCACATAGCAGATGCCAACTGTC